CTCAATTAAGGATTTTTTTTTACATAACCATATAACAATCAGTTAAATCATGTAACATTTAAAATTGTTTGCTCTACTTGCTAACCAGTTAGCCTGAGATTGTTCATCAACATGACAGAATATATTAAGATATAGATATGGCCCTGGCCAGTTTTGCTCAGCGGTTAGAGCATCGGCCTGCGGTCCAGAGAGACCCGGGTTCGGTTCCTGCTAAGGGCACGTACCTCGGTTGCAGTGTGTCCCCGGCCCTGGTTGGTCGTGCGGGTGGCAGCCACTCGATGTGTCCCTTTCACATCAATGTTTCTCTCTCTCTCTCTCTCTCTCTCCCTCCCTCCTACTCTATCTGAGCAAAAAATGGGAAAGTGTCCTCGGGTGAGGATAAAAAAATAAAAATAAAAAGATATAGATATGTACATAGGTAGATATAAATATAGATATAAAAATATTTAAGTTCTACTCTCAGCACATTTCAACTATACAATATAATACTATAAACTATAGTTACTATATTATACACTACATCCTCAGACAATTTCCATGTTACAATGGGGAGTTTGTGCACTTTTACAGATTTCTCCATAGTTCTTTCACAGCCGAGCCTCGGCAACCATTTTTCTACTCCCTGTTCCTACCAGTTTGACTTTGTTCTTTTTTCAGTTATAATAGACATTAAATATAATTTTATATAACAGTGGTTATCCATTTATATAATGTATGAAGTGATCCAAAAAATAAGTTGTGTACCCACCTGGCACCATACATAGTTATTACAATATTATTAACTATATTCCCTAAACTGTACTTGACATCTTGGTGGCTATTTTGTGACTACCAATTTGTACTTCCTAATCCCTTCATCTTTTTCACCCAGCTCCCCAACCCTCTTGCCATCTGGTAACTATAATTTTGTTCTCAGTATCTATGACTCAATTTCTGTTTTCTTTTTTCATTTATTTTGTTTTTTAAATTCCACATATAACTGAAGTCACTTGTCTTTCTCTGTCTGACTTATTTCACTAAGTATACCCACTAGGTCCATCTATGTTGTAGCAAATGGTAAGATTTCATTTTTTATGGCCAACTAATATTTCATTGTATATATGTACCACCTCTGCTTTATCCAATCGACTGAGCATGAACACTTAGGTTACTTCCATATCTTGTCCATTGTAAATAATGCTAAAATGGACACAGAAATAAATATATCCTTTCAAATTAGTGTTTTTGGATTTCTTCAGATAAATACCCAGAAATGAGATTGCTGAATAATATGGTGGTCCTATTTATAATTATTTGAGGTACTCCAATACTGCATTCCACAGGGGCTGCACAAGTTTTCAAATCCCACCATCAGTAAACGAAGGTTTTCTTCTCTGATGTCTTCGCCAACACTTTAAAACAAAATCCTCACCCTACGATATGCACTTTTAAAAAAAAAAGTATGTTTTTATTAATTTGTTTAGAGAGAGGAGAAGGGAAAGAGATGATAGACACATCATTGTGAGAGAGACACACTGATTGGTTGCCTCCTGCACGCCCCCTACTGGGGATTGAGCCCGCAACCCAGGCACAGTGCTCTTGACCAGGAATCGAACCCGAGACCCTTTGTTGTGCCGGCCGACACTGTAACCACTGAGCCACACCGGCCAGGGCGAGTTGCTGTCTTTTTTGAGGTTCTCTTTTCTCATCTATAAATAAGAGTAATAATAGTACTTTTCTGTTACATTGCTGTGAGGATTAAACGGGTTGATTTACATAAAGCTGTGAGGAGAAGAGCTGACCACAGCGTAAATATTCAGCATTAAATGAGTTAGTTCATGTGAAGAGCTTAAAAGGATGGCTAGCACGTAACAGGAAAGTTCCCACTGCCTCACACCCCACAGTGACTCATTCGGTCAGTTCCACAGGTTCGGGTTCTTCTATCATGTGCGACTGCGCAGGTCCAGCCAATGCTGCCATCAGGGAGAAAAGCTTTTTTTTTACCCAAAGAAGGTGCATGGGCAGAGTGAGGGGGAAGAGAGGCGATGTGCTGGGCAGATGAAGCTGCTTAGCCACTGTAGTCCATTCCCATAGCACCTACAGCCTTCTGCCGGCGTTTCTCTTATGTGTATGGACATACACATAACAGAGCTGGAGTGGGGTGAGACGTCCTGAGGAAAGGCGCTACGGTGGTGTGGTCACTGTTTCCATAGCTGACCCCCTGGCCCACAGTTCAATGCCTAGATCGAGGTAAGCCTAACACCCCTATTGGTGGAATGAAATGAGGGACAAAGGCAAGGGTTGTTCTGACTCTTTACAGAAACTGGTCACATCAGACTGTCTTCTTTCTGTTCTATCAGCTCTGTCAGTTGTGTGTGTGTGGAGGGGGGACACGTGCATTTATAAGTATATTGATGCCCCCCCCCCCCGGTTTTATCGAGATACGGTTGACACACAGCAGTGTATAATTTTAAGGTGTACAACATAATGACTTGATACATGTATATATGGTGAAATGTGTACCAGAACCAGTTTAGTTGACATCCATCACCTCACACAGTTACACGTCTCCTCCCTTGTGATGAGAACTTTTAAGGTCTACTCTCTTGGCTCCTTTCCGTGTCGGTGTTCAATCTGTGCCCTTTTGAAAGCTGTGAGCATACACGGATTCCCTCCTTGAATGGGCTGCGTGGTGCCCGCTGGCCCGGATATGGAGTCCAAGCAGCGTCCCTTGCTTTCGGGGCCCCATGCCTTCCAGCTCCATCTGCTGCCATAGACTCTTGGAGGCCATGAGCTCTGTCCACTCCAGATTTTAGGCGTGCGTGACCAGAAGTGGCCATGCATGGGGTAGCATGCCACAGGGCTTGGACACAGACCGACCCCTCTGTCTGGAATGCCTTCCCTCCTGCCTCAGCACGGTGGGCTGCTACTCATCTTTCAGAGCTCACCTCTGGGGTTTCCCCTGTGCAGCCGCACTGGCTTCCTGCCAGGAGCCCTTAGTAGCTGCGTCCTCCTTTGCAGAGGAAGTGGGACTCTGGTCTCTGCTACAGTCTCCTCCTGGTTGCTCACGTGCCTCTGCCCTCGCCATTTAGCCCTGTGTGGTCTCTCTGTCCCACAACGCACACTGCTCACCTTTTCTCACCCCACCCCACAGCTCCAACAGCGACACTCACTGCTCACTTATGACCTTGCTTGTCCTTAGTCCCCCGCGCCAAGCACTTGATAAGGCTTCCATGAACACTAGCTGATGAACCTCACTCTAGAGAGAGTTCACGTTGGGCTTCTGTTTTGAACGTGGGCGTGCATTCCTTGCCCCATGCTGGGCACCTCAGCACCTGGAGGGCAGAGCAGAGAGCAAACAGGCGCCTGGCTCTGGACCAGGCCAGGTCGCCAGCCCTTGGCTGGGCTTCCCTCGGGGTGTCGTTGGAGACAGCCCTGTGGACAGGGTGCTCTTGGTGCCTCCACTTCCAGGCTGCCTTTACTAAAGCTGGGAGAGTGGGAGGAACTGGAGGGTTGAAGAACCCCAGGTCCCTAGTTCTCCCATAGTCTGCAGCAGAGGCAGGGTTTCCAGCCCAGCCTGTGTGCTCCGCAGGACAAGCTGAAAGCCAGCCTGTGTCCCCATGTCTCCCAGACCCCTGTATCCCCACGGAACCGGCTGCATAAGTACTTGTGGCATGGCAATCTGCCTCCATGAATACGTGCCCTTGTGTTATCTACTCCCTCTTCTGCAAGTGTTGCAGAGGAGGGAACGAGGTGGCCAAAGGGAGAGATCTTGGAGGAAATGGGTCAGCAGGCTGCAGGAGGCGCTTGCCCCGCTGGACCCAGCTCCCGCTCCAAAGCAAGGACAGAGAAGGCAGAGCCCTTTCCTTGGCGGCGGCCGTGTTGCAGAGAGTGCGCCACGTTGAGGTGGGAAGAGCCCCCGAATGTGGGAAGAACCCCAATGGGGGAAGAAGAACCCCGAATGTGGGAAGAACCCCGAATGGGGGAAGAACCCCTGAGTGTGAGAAGAACATTTGCTTGGCTCTGTTCGGGCCGGGCAATTGTATTCCAAGGGCACCCACCTCCTGCTACAATGTAGTTGATTCAATCACTCGATGTTCTTTGGGGAGGGAGGAGGGGGGCGGGGGGAGGGAGGGACGACAGGAAACTCCCTACGCCTAACCTGCATCTCCTCAGTTCACCGTGCAGCCCTCTCCCTGCTCCTCGGTAACTGTGTAGGCGACCCAGAGGCTGAAGACTCACACGCGCGTCACCCCCAGCCCCGGCTTCCCGGTCCCGCCTCCTCCCGCCGCCCGCGGCCCCGCAGCCCCGCAGCCCCGCAGCCCGCGCCCCGCGGCCCCGCAGCCCCGCAGCCCGCGCCCCGCAGCAGCCACAAGGGGAACCAAAGAGACAGAAGCCTTCCCAGCTGCCCGGACCACAGCCGCCAACACCTCCTGCCCCCCACCACGCGCCGCCCGCCCGCGCGCTGGTCCACGGTGAGCGGCGGCTGCAGCGGCGGCGACTCGCAGCGGCGCGCTCCTGCCCGCGCTCGCCACCCGGGGCCCGGGCACCGCCGGGGCTGCCCCCGCGCCCCGCCGCGCTCGCGCCCCCGCCCGGGGCCGGCGCCCCCGCGCCCCGCCGTCTCCCGCCTGCGCGAGCCCCAGCCTGCGGGAGGGAGGTCGCGGCAGCGGCCCGGCAGCACCGGCGACCGTGGCGACAGCTGCGGCAGTGGCGGCGGCGGCGGCGGCGGCCGAGGCTGCGGCGGCGACCGTGGCAGAGGCGGTGGCGGAGGCCTCCGTGGCGGAGGCGGAAGCAGAGGTGGAGACTGAGGCGGAGGCCGCGGCCTCGGGACAGGCGGCAGTGGCGGAGGCCATCCTGGCGGAGGCGGCGGCCGCCCTGGCCGCGGAGGGGGCGGCGGCCGCGGCGGGGACAGAGGCCGGAGGCGCGGCGGCGGCGGCGGCGGAGGCGGCGGCGCCCCCCGCGCGGGCGGCGGGCGGTGCGGAGGAGCAGGCGGCGGCGGCGGCGGCGGCCCCCGCAGACGCGGACGCGGCCGGGGGTCCCGAGGACAGCCCCGACTTCCCGATGGCCTCGCTGTACGTGGGAGACCTGCACCCCGAGGTGACGGAGGCGATGCTGTACGAGAAGTTCAGCCCGGCGGGGCCTATCCTCTCCATCCGCATCTGCAGAGACAAGATCACCCGCCGCTCCCTGGGCTACGCGTACGTCAACTACCAGCAACCGGTGGACGCCAAGCGGGCCCTGGAGACCCTGAACTTCGATGTCATCAAGGGCAGGCCCGTGCGCATCATGTGGTCGCAGCGGGACCCCTCGCTGCGCAAGAGCGGGGTGGGCAACGTGTTCATCAAGAACCTGGGCAAGACCATCGACAACAAGGCGCTGTACAACATCTTCTCGGCCTTCGGCAACATCCTGTCCTGCAAGGTGGCCTGCGACGAAAAGGGGCCCAAGGGCTACGGCTTCGTGCACTTCCAGAAGCAGGAGTCGGCCGAGCGGGCCATCGACGCGATGAACGGCATGTTCCTGAACTACCGCAAAATCTTCGTGGGCAGGTTCAAGTCGCACAAAGAACGAGAGGCCGAGAGGGGAGCCTGGGCCAGGCAGTCCACCAGCGCGGGCGTCAAGGATTTCGACGAGGACACCGACGACGAAGCCACCTTCCGATGAAGACGGGCCCGGAGCGAGCCAGCCAGCAGAGCCAGCCTTGGCTCCCACCCGGTTTACAACCCCTCTTTGCCCCCAGCCCACCAGCAGTGTATTGTATGGGGAGTGCAGGTGTCTCTCTCTCCACCTTCTCTCCCCTCTCCCTCTCTGTCTCATCTCTGTCTCTGTCCCTCTCTCTTCTCTCTCGCCCCCTCCTCTCCTCTGCTCTGCTCTGCTCTCTCCTCTCTCTCTCTCTCTGTCTCATCTCTGTCTCTGTCCCTCTCTCTTCTCTCTCGCCCCCCTCCTCTGCTCTGCTCTGCTCTCTGCTCTCTCCTCTCTCCCTCTCTGTCTCATCTCTGTCTCTCTCCCAATCTCTTCTCTCTCGCCCCCTCTCGTCTCCTCTGCTCTGCTCTCTCCTCTCTCCCTCCCTCTCTGTCTCATCTCTGTCTCTCTCTTCTCTCTCGCCCCCCTCCTCTGCTCTGCTCTCTCCTCTCTCCTCTCTCCCTCTCTGTCTCTCTCTTCTCTCTCGCCCCCCTCTCCTCTGCTCTCTCCTCTCTCTCTCCTTCCCTTCTCCTCTTCTATCTTCTCCCACTCTCTCTCTCTCCCCTCTCTGTCCCTCGCTCTCTCTTCTCTCCCCTCCCCTCCCCCTTCCTCCCCTCCCCTTTCCTCTCCCCTCTCTCTGTCTCAGCTTTCTCTTTCCTTCTCTCTCCTCCTCCTCTCTCTCTCTCCCTCCCTCCCCCCTATGTTTCCTCCCTCTCTCCTCTCCCCCTCCCCCTCCCCCTCCCCCTCCCCCTCCTTTCACCCTCTAGTCCATTCTTCCCTTGGCTCTCCCTGGACACCCCCCAAGGGCATTGTGAATACTCTTGCTAATCTGTGCCACTTGATCAATTAGAGGCTGCCTCTTCTCCTCCTGGTTTGGTTTAAAAAGCACTTTCTCGCTTTGTTGACTGTACAGGTGATAACGATTGCATGGTAGCAACATCAGAAAGGAGAAGGAAATCACATGAGGGAAAACCAAGAGAGTAATTGCTCCCCATGACCCTGCTGCCCAGAGACAACCACTTTTACCCCTGTGGTGTGCGGGTTTTCCAGCCTCTCTCCCCCCCACCCCCACCTCCCGGCCCGTGCTCACCCCCACCTCGCCTTCCCCTTAACACACTGTTATCCAATGGTTCGTGTGTGTGGTGTTTCTTCACCTGCTTTTTCAGAAACTGAAACCAAACAAAAATCAACCCACTGAACTTCTTTCCGTGTTATTCAACAGGCTTCCGAAACGTCGTCTTCAGTGCTGCAGAGTGTGCCCACGGACCTTACCATGTCTGTGATCACTCGCGGTTGTTGGACGTTCGGGTGGTGCCTAGTCCCTTCCCTAGGTTTGAGCCCGACGCTGACTTCTCTGACGAGTGACTCCTTCACTGGCAAGCCAAATCTTCGCTGGCATACTGAGCAGTCATCTTAACTGTGCACTCGAAGGATCCACACATGGACATTTTACACTTTTCTGGTGTGTTGCCAAATGGCCCCTTCCCAAGTATTGTACCCATTTGCATTCATGCCAGCCAGTGCAGCCAGTAGAAAAGAGTATGCCCATTTCCCCTGCATAGTCTCCAGGCCACTGTACTTGGGTGTGTGTGTGTGTGTGTGGTGTGTGTGTGTGTGTGTGCTGGCCAGCTTGATGGGCTGCAAATGGCATTTTGCTGTCCTTGGTTGTTTTGCTGGATTTACATAATGTTGATCCCCTCCTCCCCCTGTGCCTACTTCCTGCCATTTTCCCCATTGCCAAAAAAACAACTCAGTGTCATTGCGGAAAACAAATTCACAAAGCAGACAAGTTAGCAGAAGAAAACTGATGTCACTAGTAATCAATCTTCCTGACCATCCATGCCTTCCTGAATCATTTTCATCTGCATCTGCACCTGCACAGTATTTTTCATGTGATATTTATGTGAATTTTAATGTATATACTGTTTCAATATCTGCTTTTTCATACATAAATATATAATACAGATAGATATAGATGTATAGTTAGATATTCTTGATCTTCTTTTCATGTGATTAAATATTCTTCTAAAATAATTTCTATGGCTCTCTTGTGTTCCAGTGGACTAGTTTAATAGCGGAATCGATAGATGTATGTATGTATGCATCTGTATCCATATTTAGATGTAGATATGAGGTTTTTCTTTCCATTGCTTCCTCATTGTTGAACATTTGGGTGGTTTCTATTTTTCCTTATCTAAACCCAAAGAGCTAACAATATCATAGTACACATACTTTGCTTACATTCAAAATTATTTTCTGAGCAAACTTTGCTAAAGTAGGAATTGAAGGCTCAAAGCATATGGAAGAATTAAAATCTGGTGGAGTTTTTATTTGGTTTATTATTAAATGACTATTCACAAAGATAGTTTTAATCTTCCCTCACCAGATTCACAAATACTGTGAGAGGTCCTGAATACCTGGACTGTTTTCTAGACTTGCCTTTACAATTGTTTTTGCGCTCTTAATATTTTATAAGGGGAACTATACCTATTTATTTTCAACATTTATTTTATATGAATAATACAGTAACATATTAAAAACTTTTTAACTGATAAGGAAAAAAGTCAAAATCAGTCTAAATTCTACCTCTTGACCAAGAAAATTTAAAACATGAAATATGTAGATAAATAATAACTTCCAATGTAATATAGTTTTATTGTTGGATACTTTCATTATAATTTGTATTGGGGGAAAACCCCAAAACTAAGTTCAGGATCAATTCCAAAGAACTGACATGTAGTCTTATTCAAATTCATAAGAGCTTTAATTGGAGAAACTTACATATATGAGCAAAGAAGCTGTTGCCTGTTGGTGGCCAGTTGGGAAGAATCAACACCTCTCCCAGGACAGGGTTTCTTTTTTTATAGGGGTACTTTAGATAAACAAAAAGAACAGTACATTCTTAACAGATAACATCAAGTAGTTATCACACTCTTTACCTTCATTAACCTGCTTCCTGGGGGCATGATGCTTATCTTTGGGTGACGTTTCACTGTTCTGGTTAGTCAGCCTGGCCTCAGTCTACAAAGAGTTGAGTCCAACATTTCCCAGATGTCTTTGCTATTGGAGCCAAATGGCATCTCAGAAAGTATCCATACAATTGGTCTTATAATATTTTCAAATGATTAAATATCCTCCTCTAATTTGTTCTTACTTTATGTTCCCTTTTATGGATGGGCTATAATTTATAAAACTCAACCCCTTGATGTATGTTTAAATTGTTATGTTTTTTCCTCGGTAAGATGAACTCTTCTGGGAACACATTTGTAGCTGAATGTTTGCTAACACATGGAAACATTTAGTTGCCTAGTATACCTTGCCAGTTTGTTGCTGAATGCTTCTTCCATAAAGGTTATGCCCATGAACAGTGTAAGACAGCATATTTCCCTGTTCATCTTATTTTTTTAAGAAATATTTTTATTGATTTTTAGATAGAGAGGAAGGGAAAGCAAGAGAGAGAAACATCGATGAGAGAGAAATGTTTATCATCTGCTTCCAGTATGCCACCCCCTATAGGGGATTGAGTCCTCAACCCGGGCATGTGCCCTGACCAGGAATTGAACCAGTGACCAGGATTAAGTTAATCTTTTTTAAGTTATGAGAAATTGGTTAAATTTGTAGATCTTTTCTTTATTATTTCATTTTACAAGTGCATTGTTTGAAAAGAAGAGATATATATATTAAATACACACAACAACCACTTTCAAGAGATTATTTTTGCCTATGTATACTTTGCCTATTTGTCCAAAAAATTTAAAACAAATGTACCACCACACTAAATGTATTCTGTCAAATTTTCATTTTCAATATATTGTAAATACATCTAAAACACTTTTTGTTCATCAATATTTTTTCACTACTCACTATCAGAATTTTTTAAAATGTGTTTTCTTACTTTGGACTTTAGTTTATAAAATTTCTCCGTTAAACCCAATCTGTGGTGAATAGTTTTACTGCAGAATTATTGTATTTATATAAATAGGTAAATGTGTAATTGAAAAGTAGAGGTCTTTTAAAAAAGTTGAACTGTACCATCAAGTGGCCTGAATACACTAATGTACACTTCCACTGCTCCTTTAAAAGAATGCCATGTTCCTGCACAAGTTTCTCCCTTGGTATTATAACCTTATTTTTTCCAATATAATACTGTAAAAAACATACTCTTCTTCTTTTTTTTTTTTTGGGTGCGTGCCCCTAGTGGGAAACGAACCTGGGACTCTCTGGTTCACAGGCCAACGCTCCAACTGCTGAGCCAAACCAGCCAGAGCCATACTTCACTTTTTTGTTTTTGTTTCTCAATGAAAAAATATTTTATTTTGGTTGTTATTAAAAACTATAAATTCATTTAAAAATTACACAGCATTTATAGGCAAAATAAAGAAAATAAAAGTGACATTGATTATAAGAAAAACATTTAAGATTTATGTATATATGTATATAATTGCATTGTATAAGGCATACATTATTACATATAATTACTGTATACATTATATACAAGATAGTAAATCCTATTTTACATTTTCACATTGCTTCAAAATCTTTATTCAGTAATATATAAACCTTTGTTATATTTTCATGTTTATTTTTTCCATCATTTATTTTGTGATTCCTATATAGTTTCATTATCTTTCCCCCATTTTCTGCTATTGTATTACATGCCACATATGTAAATATTAAAACATTGCTAAAATTCTGTTACAATTTGTTCTTTATGAAACTTCATACATTTTAAGAAAACTGAGAGATGAAGTTTGAGGAAGAATATATTTAGAGTGTTTGTTATATAACCCTCTCATTTACAATCTTTGGTTCTTTTACTTGCTTCCTGTGGATGCACTGTCATTTTCTTACTCTAATTTATCCTTGTCCTCACCATCTCCTTTAGGCTGCTTTTGTGAAATATAGTGTATGTGTATAAGTTAGAACCCCAACAATACATTTTATACCTATTGTTTTATAAAATTGCCTTTTAAAATAATTAAGAAAGAGTCCAATATGCATTTATATATTTTTGTAATTCTATAA